TTTAAGGCTACGATCGATACCTGGCATTAAACGCTATGAGGATGGACAGCAATTTCTTCTAAACGTCAGAAAAATACAAATCCGTTCAGTTGAACGACACTAGTTTCTCAGAGAACCTTTTTATAGTATTGGGCTACAGACAGACTGAGAGGAATTATACACAGAAAGGAAGGAGGAGGCAATAACAGAGGGAAAGTGCAACACACAATGATAGGAAGGAAAGAGAAGGAGACGATGAGGATTGACAGATAAAGAGGGTATGCAAAGACGGGAGAGCTTAGGAGAAAAGTAGTTGCCCCGCCCCGACGATTTCCCAAGATAGTAGGCCTGTCAAGAAGGACGTAATCTTGAGCTAAATAGTCATTCGGGTTCAAGATGATGGCATAAAGGGCTTCGACAGTAGAACTGTCTTTAAAATAGCAGCAGGGAGGAGATGAAGATAGAAGAAACGACACTGATATCCTGCAAGTCATATGCAGATGACATAACCAACAGAAACGGTAAAACACACCTGGTCGACGACACGTGCGTATTCGCGCATAAACTGCCGGTTGCTGCGAAGTTGGTCACCCATTGGGTCACCAGAAGGCCAGGAAACATATCCAGCGCCACCGATATCTTGCACGTTCTTCGCGAAATCAGAGAGTTCCATCACGAGCCGCCACATGCGCGACTGCCAGTTTTTCACACCCATGAGAACTAGAAGCATGAACAGAATGCTATGAGAAATAAATTGCTCCTTTGAAAAGTAAGGGTATTCAGACTTGAAGCGCACTTGACAGACACGTTTATCTAGATTTTAGAACCAGTCATAAGGCTGCGGAACTCAAAATCCTTTAGGCTTAAAATTAATGGAAATTTGGTCTCGAAATTCAAAGAATTGTCGAGGTGTCTATAGAAATCATAGTCCCAACGAACGGACCTATCAAGTTTAGAAAAGCGCCCGCTCGGAGTTGAGTGGAAACGACAAAGACCAAGCAGACCGGAGTGGCCAATTCTGAATTATTAACCGTCATCAGCCAGTCATACTTAATCCCAGGAGTGGAGCACCCGGAAATTCGAATCCGAAACCGGGACCATTGGTCATTGAGTTTATAACACTACCATTGCACCACGGGCACGTTTTGTCGGTTGAGATCGAGAAAATAATCGTCATGATCAAGGCATACTACCGCTCCACCACCGCTCGCGTTCTAGTCCATAACAACCTTTCAGAACCCTTCGCTATTCGGTCTGACGTTTGGCAAGGCTGTCTCCCTCTTTTCCATCCAATTTAACTACGCCTTTGGCTGGATCCTCGGGAGGACCTTACGTGAAGATGACAACATTGAGCTTGCACCCGGACGCAACTTGACTGATCTCGACTGCGCCGATGATATCGCTTTACTAGCTTCAATCTTTGGTGGTCTACAGTTCATGGTGTCACGGAGGAACAAGGTCGCGAAATCGGTCGGTTTGTTCATAAACGCTGGGAAGACCAAAGTGTTTTTATGTTGCATCCCTGCCCAAGAGAAGGCGGGTCTCGAGATTAGTGGCTGCCAACTTGAACAAATAGACAGTTTCAAATACCTCGGAGGGAGGTTGCTGCCGAATGGACAGAGTAGAGATGACATTGTCTCGCGAATTGACGCAGCACGACGAGTTTTTTACAGCCTTCGAGGGTGCCTATGCACATGACGCGATATTTCTATTTTCACAAAGGTCTGCGCGTACCGTACAGTCTGTCCTTCTATACGGACGCGAATGCAAGGCTATGCGCGTGGCAGACGAACGAAAACTGGAGGTATTTGACCAGTCTTGCTTAATAACCATTCTCCGAGTGAAGTACACCGACGTCGTCGCAAATGACACAGTCCTAACTCGCTGTGAAGACATCGCAAGGATATCCCAAGCTATCCAAGAATAAGAACCGAAGTGAATTGGGCAAGTTATTCGTCGTCAACCTCACGAGTTCACCGTTACTGCCCGCGAGCCGAAACCCTTACTTAATTGGAAACGTCGAAGAGGGATCAGCTTAAAACCTGGCTCGGCTCAGTCTTTCAAGACATGGAAGTGGTTCTTGGACCTTCGGTATTCGGTCTCCGACGCTGGCGAGGAGGATGGATCGAAATGTACAGGTCTGCTGTCACGGATAGACATGGGTGGAGGAGTACCGTGCGGGCTAGATCAGTCGTGATCGCAGCTGCGACAAGTAAGCAATCCCCAAATCTTACCGTCAGTAGTCTCCATCCCCTGATCCGGGATTGTTCTTCTCAGGACATTAATTCCCGCCTGTCAGCTAAGTTTGCTTCACCATCACCTTCAGTGCCCTATTAGAAAAAGAAACCCTTGCTGACACCTCATCACGCGCTGCAGCGCGTAAATGTCAGGGATCACTGGTGGTCTGCCCGTGTATGTTCTTCTACCTCCTTGCAAGAATTTTTCTTAAACCTAGGAATTTTTCGAGACTCCCAACATGGCGCGGGGGAA